TTGTGCAATGTTGTTATGTTTTTTAAAAAAATATAATTCTAACTTTTGTTTTATAACTTAAAAGCTCAAGCAACAGTTATAAATTATTGTGTTTAATTAGATTTTATCCTTGTTTTAATTAATTTTATAGTCAAATAATATATAATTAAAAAATTTAATATAGAACTTACAATTTGGATTTTAAGCATTAAAAAATTATTATTTAATAATGCTCAAGTAAATTAAATTTTTTAAATGATCAAAACAAATAAAACCCAAAAGTTTAATTAAATTATTTGCTTTTGTTACCTTTTAAGTAACATAGAATATCACAACAGTATATTATTGACAATTATTAAAAAAAGACAAATTAAACGGTTTTAAAATTTGAAAGTATAAAAAAAATGCTTTTACTTGTTTCTTAAAAAAGATTAAATTATTCTTACATTATTTACAAAACAAAAAAGAACTAGAAAATTATGATATTTATCTAAACCATAAGAATTGGTAAAGTACGCAAAATAATAAAAAAATATTGATTTATAGTCTAATTAAACTTTTGTTAAAAAATAATTATGTGCATATGACATAACGCATTTTACATTAAAAAAATTTAATTTGTATAAATTTAAAAAAATAAAAATGCCCATGAACAATTTTAATGTATTATTTTGGATGTCTTATATTTATTCATTACAAAGGATAACATTAGTTCCAGAAATACATAAAATGTATGAAATTGACTTGAAGAGTATCTCTCCAGCAGAATACGCTTTTTATATGAAAAAATATTTCCTATTTAATGATAATATTCCAATTATAACTGAAGTCAGATCACCACAATCTAATATTCAAGGATTTGTTTGTATTCATTCTAGTGGGGGGACTAAAAAATACATTAAAAACTTATATTGCTTTGCAAAAGATTTTACAAACATTGATCAGATATTTCACCAACTTTATTTTACTAAAGCCTTAGGACAACAGAATATTCTTAACATACAAATTCCTCAAATGTTGTTTAATAATGCTCTAGAGTCTCAGTATAGTATTAAAGTCAAAAAAATTTCCAAAAATATTAGCGAAATAGAAGTGAAATTGCAAAATGGTTTTATAAAATTTTTATTGTTAAATAAGCTTGATATAATTTTGTTATCTTGTCAACTTCTTGAAGAATTAACAAACAGACCTGGATCAAGAATTATGCATTCTCTAGAAAATAAAGATTACATTTTAGCATTTTTTGATAGAGATTATGGTAAGCTTATTGGTTTTCTAAATGAATTTATTCTGTTATTACAAGAAGAT